GTTTTTGTTGACTGTGGTAGACAATATTTTGTAAAGCTACTTCATTATGTATGTTTTTGTTGATTGCTATCATTGGTAATATCTTGTAAACCAACTCCCTTATTTTGGATGTTTTATTAACTGCCTATATATAACACAGGCCATTATATTAGTACTTGTTGTTGTAATAGAGCCTTTGTCAATATATTCCATGAACAAATTTTTTCATCAACACAAAATATGTAGCCTAAACCCAGGAAATAAGAAAGCGCACTATTAATCCTAAACAAATAACATAATAGCTAACATTAGAACAACTACAACCACAATTATAATAGCAGCAACTCTGAACTTCGACCTTCCTTGTCTTCTTTGACAATGGCATCGATCACTCTTCTTAACAAGAGCCGCAATAAGTCTTATAGTGTTCTTCCTCAATCGCATGATCAACCCATCTGAAAAAGCCACAACCTTCACCAATCTCATATCTTCGGAAGCCCAGGAACGTCCTTCCAGGATTGGTGGGTGTTCGTGACATTTTAAGATCTGCAGCAACTCCACAATAACACAAAGGTTCCTTCCTCATTGTTGAAGGAGAAGAGGCGGCAATAGCGTGTTTGTTGCAAGAGAAGCAGAAGAAAAGCGACTTTCAAAACAAAAGGAGATTGCAAAAATTGATGGGCAACGAAGAATCACATGAAAATAAAATTCAATTTTTCACTGTTGAAGCTAACAAAGAAAGAAGAAGGCATCAGATTTGCTAAATTTACCTTCTATAATGTTCAACAATAGAGAATAAGGTAGAAAGAAGAAGATGACTGTTAAATAGGCTAAATTATTACCGTTAGGGCTTTTTTTTACTGTCTTCACACCCCTTACAGGCGTGTGAATCATGCACTGAAGCCACATATGACACATAGGATAAGCCACCTTGGATAAGCGTTTATTATTCACGTTTTGAATGAGTACAAGTGTTCAATTGGAAAATATCTAAGTTTGGGGACCGACATGACAAAGTGGGGGAAGTACAAGTGACATTTAGGCTATTCTGCCATAGTATAATGATAGAGATATATTTGGACTCAAAGTATAACGATAAGGCTATATTTGGACTCAAAATATAACGAGGGGTATATTTAAACCTTTTCTGATAGGCCAAATGTATATTTGGCCCTTTTCCGAATTATAAATATATACTCTCAAACTTAATAACTCTATCAATTTAATTTAAATAAAGTAGTAGATTGTCGTGTATGTAAAGCGAGTCTAACATGAATTATAGCAACTTCCAACTAATTGCGATTGAAAGTAATTGCATGATTCAATCGTCACAAGGAGTAATGAGTACTCAAAATACATTGACCCAAATTTTTGTGAAAAATTCTAGGGCAACTTATTTGGCCTCCTCCAATTAATTTGCACCCATTTTTCTAAAACTTTTAACTCGTACTTAATTTATGAAAACCTTAGACATTCTTTGCTTCTTTCTTCTTCTTCTCTTTCTTCTTTATTCCATATTATGTCCGAAGTTCATTCAAAAATGTCTGAACTTCAGCTATATGTGCCTGAAGTTTATGAAAACTGTATGAACTTCAATCCACCTTCCAACTTCAGATCAAATTTTTACAATTTCAGACTCCTATATTGATGTTATTCCGTAAATGATAAACTTGTAATTATTTATATACTACGGTTATGACTTCAACGGTGACTCAAAAATTGTGTATATATACGCTTCCCCCTAAGTTTTTTGATCAATTTTAGCTTAAATCAAATCTTCAAAAAGAGAGACAAAAGGACATAATTCATTTCAAGAAAATTAAACATTATATTATTAGATTCAGATCTTTATACTGATATTAATTGCTCAAATATCAGAACCAAAAATGATCCCTAAATAGATTAACCTAAATTCTTGGATCAATCTCTGCCTTAAACCAAATAAAAAAAGATTCAGATTCTACATATTGATGGCGTAAAACAAAATACAATTAAGTCACTTAAAATTTAGTTATATGTAACTTTATTTAATACAACTAATTTATAACCAAAATACTTACTCCTTCCGTTTTAATTAGATGAGCTAGTTTGACTCGGCGCGGAGTTTAAGAAAAAAAGAAGACTTCTGAAACTTGTGATTTTAAAAGCTTAATGCAACGACCCAACCAGTTATTTTGAGCATTTGCACTTCGCTCGGTAGTTCACGGGCATGTGTAACACTGTATGATGTATCATAACTTGTGTGAATTATCGGTTTCGGTTTTTGGGTTATTCGGAATTAATTTGGAAGAATAATTCTCAACTAGGAAGCTTTAAATTGGAAGAGTTGACCAAGTTTGACTTTTTAATGTTTGACTTCGGATTGAAATTTTGATGGTTCCATTAGGTCCGGATGATGATTTTGGATTCGTGCCCGAATTTGCATTTGGATGTTCCTAGAAGAAATCGGCACTAATTGGCGAAAGTTAGAAGCTTGAAGGTTTGGAAAGTTCATAAGTTGACAGAGAATCGGCTTTGAAGATATCAGATATGGATTGTAGTTTCGGGAATTGGAATAGAATTGTAGTTCCGGGTCGATTTACTATGTTTCGGCACGAGTTATGGAAGTTGAAAAATTCAAAGTTCATTAAGTTCGATTTGAGGTGCAATTCGTAATTTTGATGTTGTTATGCGTGATTTGAGGCCTCGGGTAGGTCTGTATTATATTATGAGACTTGTTGGTATACTTGGTCGGGGTTCCGAGTGGCTCGGGTGAGTTTCAAACGAGGTTCGAACCATTTCTCATTCTTATTTTGGTTGCTGGTTTTCTGCTGTTACCAGTTGCTTCTAGCGTTGTTCGCGATCGCGAAGATCTGGCCGTGATTGCGAAAGGTGTTTTGGTCGGTGGAGCTATTTGTTCTTCGTATTCGTGCTTCTAAGGTCACGTTCGCAATGGGTTGAAGATTTTAATCTTCGCGTCCACGTCCATGGATATGTGTTCGCGTAGTATTGAGCGAGGGTTGGTCAATCTATATGGGTGCTTCATCGCGTTCGTAATGAGTTGTCCGTGATCGCGGAATTCTGGTAGTGTGCTTCATCGTGTTTGCAAGGGTTTTGTCGCGAATACGTATTGTAAAGTGTGGCAATGTGAGTTTGTGCTTCGCGAATGCGTGGCTTATACCGCGTTCGCGTAAGGTATCGGGGTTTCAGTCATTTTTATATTTTTGGAGCCAATGAAGCTCGGATTGAGGCGATTCTTGAAATAATTTTCACCATGTAAACTGGGGTAAGTGTTCTCTATTCATTTTTTATTTTATATCGTGAATCTATCTTTATTTTCGGCATTTTGATTGAGGGTTCCAAAAGAGAAATTGAGGGTTTTAGCTTAAAGTTTCATAAAGTGAGTTTTTGAGTTTTGAACATCGATTCAGAGTCGGATTTCAGTGAAACTAGTACGGTTGGACTCATAATTAAATGAGTTATCGGATTTTGTAAGTTTTGTTGGGTTTCGAGGCGCGGGCTCCGATTTTGACTTTTTGGCCGATTTTGGGCTTTTGATTAAAGATTTAAACTTTATCGATTAGGTTTGTTTCCTTTGGTATTATTTGAAGTATTTGAGTTGCTTTTGGCTAATTTTGAGCCATTCGGATGTCGGTATGCACGTGGTGGCATTTTTGGAGTATCGCTTGGCTTGCTCGATATCAGAATTAGCTCGTTCGAGGTAAGTAACACTACTAAACTTGGTGCTGAGAGTATTAAATCCCGAATTACGTATTATGTGTTTGGTATTGAGGTAACACATATGCTAGGTGACGAGTGTGTGAGCGTGTACCGTGTAAGTTATGACTCTGTTATTTCGTGGTATTGTGTAGTTACCTGATCTTATCTGTAACCATGAAATCTCTACGTACTAAAGTAATTAAGCTGTCAATCATGCTAGAGATCATGTTTAGGCTATATGCTGATACGGTTGGGACCCATAATGGTCATTTGTTGTTGTTGACTTATTGATTTCATTAAAAAATTGTACTAAATCATATTCATTCATTACATACCATACTTCAGTCTCTGTTGTTATTTATTGATACATCATATTATTATTTTCAGGCTAGTTTCATAATATTGTGAGCCCCGTAAGAGAGAGACTAGAGAGATTGATGACTGAGTGAGGCCGAGGGCCTGATTATGGGTGACATCTATGAGATCGAACTGTACGTCGCATCGGGTTTTACTGATTTATGATAGCATTTGGGCTGAAAGAGGCCTTTCGGAGTCTGCACCCCCTCAGTGAATGCAGTTGATTATATATATACATGTGGATCGGGTTGCACGCCGCAACGAGCCTTATGGCTATATATATGTGGATCGGGTTGCACGTCGCAACGAGCCTTATGGCTATATATATATGTGGATCGGGTTGCACACCGCAACGGACCTTATGTCTATATGTAGATCGGTGTACGCTGCAACAGATATTGTATAATGCTTAGAGACTGAGTGTGCTGAGAAGACAGTAAGATTGAGTACTCTGAGAGTGTGAGTACACGAGTTCATCATTGAGATACATTGCATTTGACATGCGTACTTGAGGTACATGCTTAGAGATGCATTTTATTCTGCTACCCGGTTTTGGTGACATTCATGATTTTTCCTGTATCTTGACATGTAGGCATAGAGATGTACTTTACTCACGATATCTGAAAATGAAACATCCTATTTATTGTTAAAAGGATTTTTGGGAAAATCACAGTTTTCAAGCTTACTCATTTTTTTGGCAATTTCGTAAAATATTTGGGTTTTCATTAAGATACCTGAAAAGCATGCCTATTTTCTAGAACTATGAAGGGGCTGAGCATTATATTTCTGAAATACTTCTTATATTACTTGCACTATATTGTTATGAACTGTTGTTGGCTATTGGTGTCAGACTCGATCTTTGTTCCAGCTCGTCACTACTTTCAACCTAAGGTTATGTTTGTTGCTTAGTGAGTACATAGGGTCGGTTGTACTCATATTATACTTCTACACCTTGCGTGCAGATGCTAGATACTGATGCTACTGCGTACAGCGGGAGCTGGATCGGAAGTCGTACCTGCATTCCAGTCACAACTGCCTCTTGTTCTTGGTAGCTTTAGAATTATTAATCTGTTTATGTATTATTCGGACAAATGATGTATTTTTATTTCACACCAACATTATAAATTCTAATCTTAGAAGCTCATGATTTGTACTACCAGTCCTTGGAAAAATTCTTGTATTAAATAGTTGTATTATCATTTCTGCTCTTAATAAGTCTTATTAAATCGAACAGTTGTTAATTGGCTTACCTAACGGGTTGGGTTAGGTGCCATCACGACTAGTTGGATTTTGGGTCATGCCACTTAAGTGGTAAAAACTTTGTGGGTCCATGACATTTTGTGGTTATAAAAGCTTCTCATGAAGGGTAAAATGAGTAAAAAGAAGAGTTTAAAGTTGAATTATTTTCAAATCTAGAAATGTGTCAATTATTTTGGAACAGACTAAAAAGGAAAATAACTTTCTAATTTGAAACGCAGAGAGTAGTAGGTAATATATAAATTACACTGTTAGTGTAAGAAAGTTATTACATCTATCGATATATATAATATGCATTAGTGGAAGCAACCACTAATGTTTGCATTAGGGTATACTGTCTATGTCGCACTCTTTTGAAAAAAGAGAGAGGAGAATACAGATACCTTGTGCACGAGACCGCCAAATCTATTTGGGCCAAAAGTGTTTTTTTTTGTGGCCAAAAGCACTTTTGGCCAAAAATTGAGGTGTTTGGCCAAGCTTTTGGAAGACAAAAAAGTGTTTTTGAGGAGAAACAGAACTAGAAAAAAGTAGCTTCTCTGCAAAAACACTTTTCTAAGGAGCACTTTTAAGAAAAATACACTTAGAAGCAGTTTTCAAAAGTTTGACCAAATACTAATTAGTGCTTAAAAGTGATTTTCAAATTAATTAGCCAAACACAAACTAATTTTCACCACAAAAATATTTAAAAAAATATTTTTGATTTAAAAATACTTCTCAAGACAAACTGATTTTAGAAACTTGGGCTACAAGTTTGGGTAAACTTGTATTTAGAGGTAACGTAAAGAAAGAAAGGGACAATAACAAATCCAAGAAGAGAGCGTCTCAAACGGTCAACAATTCCCAGCAATTAGCCGTCTGAATGCATACGCATGCATTGACTTCATATATTACGTACTGACAGCCCATTTTTTACCTCACTAGCCCCCACCTTCTCAAATATTGGTCTTTTCTTTGATGTTTCTTTTGGAACAAAATTACTACTACTACTAAAAAAAATCTAATCATTTCGTACTTCTCTATATTTCCACAAGTACCTCAGCCGCCTTTATTTCAGGTTTGTTTCTCTTAGTACTTCAACTGCAGACTAATTAATCAGTGTTTATTTAATTTGGTTGTTTGGTTAAGTGGGTGGACAAAGTTAATTACTTACCATTTTTGTGAAAAAAACTGGAGGGTGTTTAGGTTTTTGAGGGTTTCTTGATCTGATTTGTCTATTTGGGTTGTTTGGTGAAGAGGGTAAGACAAAGTTTTAATGCCCATATTGTAAAGATTTCAGCTTTGTGTGAATTGGGTATTTGGGTTTTTGAGGTTTTATTGATCTGGTTTGTCTTGTTTACGTGATTGGTGAATTGGGTATGTGATTGAATCTTCTTCTGTGCTATCTGTGTAGAAGAAGAATTATCTCTTGGAGTTAGCTGTCTTATTTCAGTTTCATTTCTTGATTTGGTAATACAAAGAGAAATAGAGATTCCAATCTGAAACTTTGGAAAGTCTTGGTTTTTGAGGTCTAAGGCTTTCAATTTCTATATGACACAGCTGGATTATTGTTGGAAATTTGAAGTGAGTTGATTATTGAATCTGGATTTCCAGTATTTTAGCTTAAGTTTGAAAGAATCTGGACTATTAGTAGCTTGTTGAGGTAGTTTCCACTTTGGTCCAATCGGAACTGGAAAAAAGAAGTTGACTTTCGCCACGTTGATTGCGGAGATTGATCCTGCCTGATCAATGCTCATCTGAATGCTGAAACTTGTTTCTTATCTACTGCCAAAAGGGACTGGACTCCTTGACTTGACCTGGTAGAGGAAAGGCTTCTGTATTGTTGCTTGTGGTTGCTAAAGAATTTGCAATGGATCCCTTATATTTTGTTTTTTTGAAGTGGGGTGATTATATCATTTTTTACTGAAAATGGCTGTACTTGTGCTGTGTATACTATTGCTGGTGCAGTTCCATCTAATTTCTGCTTCTCCACTGTTGGGACATAAAGAAGCTTGTGGAATTTACCATGTTGACTATTCAGATGAACTGAATCGCCAAGTATTTTATGTCAACGGCATATTAGTAGACAAACTTTTATTCTGCGGCACCCTCAAATTTGATCGTGCAAAACATTGCTTTATCCAAAATTTTGGGTTTCAATATTGTGGATTGGACTTATCGATTGGTATGCACTCGTATATGCTACAATATTGTTTTCAAATGTCTTTCCAACAAATCCTTCTGAGATGTTCTTCATTAGAAACCATTTAATTTCTGTGTATTTTTCCTAATTGCTTCTATTGGATATCGCGGTTTATAATTTTCTATAGTGATATAGTAGAGTCCAAACCATGTTGCAGATGAGTTGCATTTCAAGTCGGGAAGAAAATTTCTACAAAAGGTGGTCAGACAAGGATCCAGTGAACACAATTTTGATGATACAGCAGCACGGAAGCCTAAGGAAAAACGTGCTGATAATTTTTCAGTAACCCCCCAAAAGTTGGTCATGGCGGTACCAGTATTTTTTATTCTTTGCTGCGGCTTAATTTGCCCTTGTTTTCGTGCGAGGAAGAAGGAAACGGATCAATCTGCTCTTGTAAAGGATCCTAATTCAAGTGAGTTAACCTTTTCAATGTTCAATAATTTCGTTTTCAGTTTATAGCTGTTTTCATTCTTCTGAAGATAAATTTAAGGTACTAATAAAAATTTCCAATGACATGAATTTTTTCTATCTACTTATGATCAATTTTGGAATCTCTGCTAGAGCCCTGTTCCCAGTAGTATTAGTAGCGCTCCTGTATTTTCATATTCTTCGATCTCTATTATTTGCTTGTTGTTTCGTTCACTTCGTTTATCTTCTTTCCCTGTTGTTACTATTTGATGCTACTTTTCCTTTTTCGGCTTCTCCTTTTCTCCCCTTTTTCCTTTTCGTTTTTTATCTTCTTCTCCCCTTTCTTCGTTTTTCACCTTTTCTTGAGCCAAGGCTCTATCGGAAACAATCTCTCTACATCACCAGGTAGGGGTAAGATATGCCTACATCTACCCTCCCCAGACCTCACTTATGAGATTATACTGGGTATATTGTTGTTGTTGCTGGAGCCGTGATAGAGGCAGAGCTAGGGAGGCGGAAAGGGGTTCATTTGAACCCCCTTGCCGGAAAATTACATTATTTATACTAGGTCAAAATTATCTTTTATGTATATATGGTATATGTTGAATCCCCTTTTTTTTCATCTATTTATTTTTTTAATATTTTGAATCCCCATAGTTGCTGCTTTGCTGGTTTTGGTGGTTGTTTATAAAGATATTGCATTGCCTTTGCAGTGGACTCTGGTTCCTCCATGGAGATGAATTTTGTTCCTGAAAAGGCACCCGGCAGTCCGCTACGAGTGCCAGCTAGTCCACTTCGAGTGCCGCCTAGTCCCTCTAGATTTAGCATGTCTCCAAAACTCAATCGAATTGGCTCCATTCACCTCAACGTGAATCAGGCTCTCAGAGCTACCCAAAATTTCTCTCCGTCCCAAAAAATTGGAGAGGGAGGGTTTGGAACGGTATACAAAGCTCAACTACCGGATGGTCAAGTAGTTGCCATTAAACGTGCGAAGAAGGTAAGATACCATTTAGTCAACTGATCTTGAATCTGCAAATCTTGTATATGTCACGATAATTTGATGATTTATCATAAAAACCGTGAAAAAGGAAGCTATTCACTAAACGTCGAAGTTGCATTAACTGATACAGCATGAAAAGGCAAAATAAATTTCGTACTTCCCTTCCACTGATTTCTACAATTTAAGGGAATGAGTTAATAGAATTTACTTGCATTTTTAAGTTAAGTGAAAGCCTCTCAGCATATGCACTGCCCAATCAGGAAACCCTCATATTCGTTTCCTTTCTGCAATTTACCTTCATAAATTATGAGGGTGTTTTCTTGTCTAGTCATTTGAAACTGCGCAATTATAAATAAAACAATGATGAAGAAATTCGAATACCAACACATGCGTTTAAGGAAGTAAAAAGACAGCTCTTTTTTTTCTCTTGATGACCGAGAAATCCATCCAGAGCCAACCCTTTCGGGCCAACCACAACCTTCATAACTCGGGGATGATGCCCCCCCCCCCCCCCAAACCCCAAACCCGTCGCACCCTTCTCCACTTAAATACCAAAGGTAGTTTGCGCCAACCTAAGCCACAAGTCCCTCAACCTTTGCCAATTCAGTTAACCCTAGGGGGCATAAAGACAGCTCTTTTCCACGGAAAGGAGAGTTGCTTAAGTAAGCAGAATGTTGGACCATAATGCACCTTCTACGAATACTCTATAGATGATAATTACCAATTTAGAAATCAGAAGTGGGACAACAATTCATGATTTTAGTTTCAAGCTCAATTACTAGGTTAAGTGCTAGTTATCACCTACTAGATTACAAACATAAGATAGTTTCTCTAATATGAAGAATCTTGTTGGTCATAGAATAATTCTTTCACAACAAAGTAATTCATGATTTAGGTTTTCTGAAGATAATTTGCTTGTTTGACTTTTATGCTTTCTCTGTTTTCTTATTTGACTTCCTTACTCTGTTTTAGGCAAAGAACTCACACATTTGAAGTTATGTCACTAGTTTTTATCTATGATTGTATCTTTTGATTGGACTAATATTATTGTAGAAGGCATAGCTTCTGAAATTCTGAACTAACGTAGTAATTTCTTTACCCTTTTCGATTTTTTCTTTCCGTGTGAAAGAGGAGGAAAGGAAGGAAAAAGTTAGTTCGGCCAAATTTACATAGCTTATTCAGAAGAAAGATCTAAGTTGCAAAAGGAGAACAATAGAGACACGAGGTTGTGACACGTGCAAGTTAACTTAGGAACTGAGACATGAACTCTGATTTTGGGACAAGGGAAGGAGATCGAATTTTGAGAGAGAAAGGGACTTACTATAACCTCTCCAAAATGGCCATTCAAACCAAAACCTTATCCGTGCAGCAAAGAATGACTGAGGGGAAGGGGGCAGTTAGCTGGCTGCTTCTCTACAGTGTACTTTGCTTCCTCATGTTAAGAACCAATTGTCTATGGAATTAACTCAATGAGATGTTGAAAATTTGAGGAGTTAGAAGGGTTTTTTTGAGAAATATTTCCTTCTCTTGCTCTCCATTTTCTCCCTTTTTTAATCTTTTCTTTTTGGAGTGGTTTGGGTTGGGGGTGCAGAGGACGTGGCCTTGTTGGCGGAAGTGGAAGCACTGTTGATACATGTATATATTCAACCTGAATGTGACATTATGAGCCGTTTGGACGACATTAAAGTTGATGTTGAAATTGAAAAAACGCTTGTGGATGCTGAAATCTGAGTAGTTGTAGTTTTTAAAAAGATTTTTGGAAATTGAAGACTTGTAGGTGGACATCTTAGATTTGAAGAACTTCGCTTGAAATACACTTCCAACCACAGCTTTTCAAACTTGAACTAGAAAATTTCTTTTTCCCAAATAAAAAATTCAAATAAACACCAAATTCAAAAATATTATTTGCAAGTGAATTTAAGAAGTCCACAAACAAAAACCACATAAATTATAGTCGGGGTTACTCATGGTTGATAGGTTGGGTTCTAGCTATCTTTTCATGTAGTTTATTTCTTGAACTTTGACGTGTAACCCCTTCTGTAGGAATGAAAGATTGGCTTTTCTTTCTTGTTCCTTTTATTTTTAGCTCTCTCTCTCTATATATATAATATATATATCTGATTTTATCTGTATGAGAAAAGAATTAAATCATTCTAATATCTGAATTTTTTGCAGGAGCATTTTGATTCTTTGAGCAATGAATTTAGAAGTGAAGTTGAGCTTTTGGCAAAAATTGAGCACCGTAACCTAGTTAGGCTTCTTGGTTATGTTGATAGGGGAAATGAACGCCTCATCATTACGGAGTATGTGCCTAATGGTACACTAAGAGAACATCTAGATGGTATACCATTTATAAACTTGGTGCGCTGATCACAACTTCCATTATGGTAAAAATGTGGAGAGCAATAACTTTGAGTTTTTTTGGCAGGTGGACGTGGGAAAATCTTAGATTTCAATCAGCGACTTGAAATTGCAATTGATATTGCTCATGGTCTAACTTACCTCCATCTATATGCTGGTATGCTACTGTCCAGCGCTTGTAATTCTCTTCTCTAAATATAGTTTCTGAGCCATATAATTTATCCAGTAGCTCCTATGTTGAGGTTCAAGTTTCAATAATCCATTCTTGTAAACCAGGATTCAATGTTACGATCAGATTTGGCGATGTATAACGTTTTGGTCCTTGGTCTATTTTGATCTGCCCGTGATCATTTGGATTTGACGCAATCCTATTTTTGTTTGCCACAGAGAAGCAAATTATCCATAGAGATGTGAAGTCATCAAATATTCTCCTGACAGAGAGCATGCGTGCCAAAGTTGCGGATTTTGGATTTGCACGACTTGGAGACTCAGACTCTGATAAAACACACGTTTCAACCAAAGTGAAAGGCACCGTTGGTTACCTTGATCCTGAGTACATGAAAACATATCAACTCACGCCAAAAAGTGATGTCTACTCATTTGGGGTATTGTTATTAGAAGTTTTAACGGGCCGTCGTCCTGTAGAGCTTAAAAGACCTCCTGATCAGAGGGTGACACTTAGATGGGTAAGCTCTTTACTCATTTTTTCCTCTTAAATTTGGTTAAATCTTGGATTATTGGCTCTACCAATAGTAAGGGTGGAGCTAGAGCTTCTTTTACGGGTTCGGCCAAAGTCAGTTGAAGCTTCTTTTACGGGTTTGGCCGAACGTAGTAGCTTTGGTCTAAACCATGTATTTTTGTACACATTATTAATTTAGAACCCAATAACTAAAATTCCGATCCCATAAGCTTCGAATTCTGGCTCCACCTCTAAGTCCATCGTCTATGTTAAAAGTTAATTAACGGCAGGATTAGCGTTATTTCTATTAGATGTGCTGATTGTGTTTACTATGTCTGTTGCTTTCTCCAGTACTTAGATAACGAAAACATGTAGTTTTTCAAACAATAACAGAAACTAATCCGTATATTAACTTATCGAGTACAAATATAATATGTATGTGCAGGCTTTTAGGAAATACAATGAAGGATGCATGTTGGAAATGTTGGACCCTCAAATGAAGGAATCCGTGAGCGGGGAGATACTGGTGAAAATGTTTGGTTTGGCTATCCAGTGTGCAGCACCTACACGAAAAGATCGCCCGGATATGAAGATTGTTGGGGAGCAGCTTTGGGCAATTAGAATGGATTATTTGAGGAATGGAAGAAGACAGTAATAACTGCAAATATACTGTTGTGACTAATACCAAGTTTATTCCCTAGAAAGGATAATCTTCCACTTATTGTTTGTATATGTGAGCAGTTAAGGTACTTTTCTTGATATTGATTCACTGATCTCTGGTGTGCTCAAAGTATATTGTATTTTGTATTTGTCGATCCCATTAGTCGTCTATCTTCATCGAAGAATATTGAGTGACTAACAGGTAGATAATAGGCCTGCCTCTCTCCCCTTCTCCACAAATTATCAAACTTTTGTTAATTGTTTTCAATTGTACTCTTAATATTGAAGAAGTAATTAATCGCTCTTTTTAATACTGCTCGATTTTCAAAAGTATTTAATAGGCGTAACTTAATAAACTATGGTGTGTTTGGTACGAAGGAAAATATTTTTCAATTTTTTCATGTTTGGTTGGCTTAAATGTTTAGGAAAATATTTTCCTTATGAATTCATTTTCCTTCAAATGTAGGAAAATGTTTCCTTATCAAGAAAAGAAAAAACATTTTCAAAAACTTCTTCTCCACCCTCACCAATCCACCCCACCCCCTCTCCAAAAAAGGCTTCTTTTTTTCAAATTTTAGTTTTTTCGTTACCATCCACCCTACTACCCCTCCACCCCATCCCNATCGGTTTAAAGGTTCAAAATTTTACAAGTTCCAAAGTTATGAGTTCGGAGGTTTATGTGTTTGAAAGTTTACGGGTTCGAAATTCCTCGGTTTCGAAAGTTAAGTTGTTCGAAAGTTTATGAAATTTGTGGGTTCTGCAAGGGGGTTCATCCGAACCCCCTTCGCTGAAAAATTACACTGTATATATAAGGCAAAATCTGTTTTTTACCTTTATATATTAAGTTTTGAACCCCCTTAACACAATCCAAAAGTGTAGTTTAGTGGTCAAGGGGGTTCAAAATCTACATAAGGTCATGAGTTCAATTCCCACTAGCTACAAAAAATTTTTTTGAACCCCCTTCGTGGAGATCCTGCCTCCGCCACTGGTTCTGAAGGTTGTTGGTTTGAAAGTTTATGGCTTCATGTTTATTATATCAAAATTTTTTATGAATACTCTTGAGAAGTCATTTGCCTTAATTTGCATACCAAACACCGAAAAATGAATAAGATTACTACTTATTTTCCAAAAAAATATTTTCCACGAAAATTATTTTCCGTTATACCAAACAAACCCTATATCATTATTTTCTTGATGGACGTAAAGAAAGCTAACTGACAGTTAAAATGAGTATTACATAGTTGGGTTTGCAATTACTCCCTCCGGTTCACTGATTACACCAGTTTAAGTCAACTCCCTTACTTGTCCTTTGTGGGATTTTTTTATTTTGTAGTTTGAGTAACAGAGAGCAGATAATTTCACAGTAATATAAATTTATTCCAAATGACAATCTATAGCTTCTCATTACCTTTCTTTTTAATATTTGATTTTGTGCTCTATACTATTATTTCTAGATTTCTAGTTCGACCTTACTTTTCTAGTTACATAAAGTAAGACGAGAAATGAATGAAATAAGTCATGCAATAAAAATCGGATAGGAACAAATACTACACTTGATCTTAGCCAAAAGAAAGTAACGAGGAAAATTTAGAACTAAAATTGGTGGGATGCGCCAGGCCAAGGCAATAGTGCAACACCAAAGCGACGCTTGAAGACCCCAATAGCAAGCTATCGTGATGGACCTTGCCCCTTAAAAAATTGAGTTAATATCATATGAGTCGATGACCCACATATCAGATATTAAACTGATAAGAACAGATACTACACTTGATCTTAGCCAAAAGGCCGAGAAAGGTATGCTTTTCAATCTTATGCTCTTGCTCTTTTATATTCCATTCCTTACATAGGAGCTCTCCTGTCCAGTCAGTGTGGGACTTGAAGAGCTTTTATGCTTCTTTCAACTAACTAACTATACATTAGAGATTCCAGATTTCTAGTTTTATAATATTGTTTCAGTTGCATTTAATTGATGAGTGAAAATAACTAATGCAATCAAGAAACATAAAGTTATTGTTTTATTTGTTAATTTATTTAATTTTTATAAATCCATTTTATCTTAGCTATGATTTAGTATATTATATGGAGCAAATACCAACCAGTAACACAATTTGTAAGCAAGTATCTTGATAGTAGAGTTATTAAACATATATAATGCACCTACAAAAATCACGAACAAACTTTTTTTCTTGAAAGTAGTATACTTTGAAAGTTCGGGTTGCTTATTTAGTCTGTTGTGTCTTAATATAAGCATTACTCTTCTTTTTATGTCATATTGAAGTTTATTTTTATATGGCCAAATACATTGGCGGCCCCTTAAAGCATTACTCCGTTTCATTTGAACACTTCAACCATATCTTAAATATGTCATTTAAACACAATTTGATGATATGGCATAGTGCGTGTATTACGCTATTTTTCCGAGCGCGAGAGATCATTATTTCTATTTTTCATTTTTTTTTACTTTCTTTATCCTCCTATTCTTTGGCAAGCAGAACACGAACGAGGTCGCAGGAGAAGTCAGAAATCCGGCGAGGTCCAAAGAGGCGACAAGCAACAGTAATATGTTATCAAGGTTTTAACATTTACACATCAACCACGAAATCAATAATAGACAGAACACAAACGAATCTCCGATACCCCAATGATGGAACATCAGAAATGGCGATAAATATCGCTGATTTTAATAGTAGCCGCCGAAATATTAAATGTCCGGTCACTTCTTTCAGTTCTGCTTTTTTATCAGTTAAAACAACAACGAAATAGAATAATAGAGATGAAGGAGGAAAGAAAATGAGCAATGGCCGGTGGTTGCTAGAATCGCCAGATCCTTTTTTGTTTCTTCCCTTTTTTCTCAACTCAGATTTTTTCTTCTCCGGTTAGCTAAAAGAAGGGATTTTCAACCCAAAAAAGAAAGAAAAAAAATTGACATAAATTTCTCCCTTCCTCAGATCTGAAAATCCAAAAACGGTAGGCAGATGAAGACGGAAGGAGGGGGGAGGGGGTACCTGTGTTTTTTCGCATTGATTTTGTTCAATTTGGGCGGCTGGAACTCAATTTCCGGCTAATTGAAGTTCACCGGAGTTCTGCAGAATGTCGGAGCTGACGCTTTTAATGGTGGGATGGTCTAAAATTTGTGGAAAGTTAGATTTGAAGGTGGAGAACAATCTTTATTATTTGGAATTTCTTGATTTGGCCCAGAATTGAGCTGGAAAGAAATGGCTAGAAATGATTTTTCTGGCGATGAGTGATAGTTGGGGAAGATGACAACGAGTGAATCCACGTGTCCTCGTCTTATTTGTCACTCTTTGTGTTTGGCCGCCTCCAAATTTTGTGTCTAAATGACACAATAAAGACCTAGTTAAAGTGTTCAACTAAAACAGATTTAAGATGGAGTGTCTAAGTGAAAAGTGAAGGCAACTTTTAGGGGTCGCCGATGTATTTGGCCTTTTTATAACAAACCATACATTCTAGTAAAAGACAAAGATGGTTTGGCACTCCAAGTCAGCTTTCTTTCATTCGGGCTTTCTTTCTATGTTTTTGCTTCGGTCTTTCTTTCTTCTATGTTTGCGCGAGTCAATTATGTGTGGCGCAAAGGACGAAGTCGTCACTTACTTCAATATTGCAGGGTAACTTAGCTCTTGCTCTTGCAAATTGCCAATCCTCTAAAAGAACTTTAAAATTGTGTAAAATATCTTATTATTTAATTGATTATATTAATCTTCTTAAGTATTAATGAAACAACATATTTCTTCAATGTATTATCCTAATTTTTTTCTTCTAAATTTTTCGATTTAATGAGTCATAATAAGTAAAAACGTAAGACCAAAATAAAACTCCAGCAAAAGAAGAAATTTAGGACTAGAATTGGTGGGGTGCGCCAGACCAAGGTAGTAGTGCAACACCAAGGCGATGCTTGAAGGTCCCGATAGCAAGCTATCGTGATGGACAAGCCCCTTAAAAAATTAGTTAATATCGTGTGAGTTGATGACTCACATATCAGCTATTAAACTGATAAGAACAGATACTACACTTGATCTTAGCCAAAAGGCCGAGAAAGGTATGCTTTTCTATGTTTCGCTTGGACCCTTTTATATCCAACTTTGTACATAGGAGCTTTGCTATATAGTCGATGTGAGACTAGAAGAGCTTCTATAGATCCACGAAGAGATAAGATTCCTTACTTAAATAGGCCAAATGAGAGTGGAGACAAAAAGTTTGAACAAACAAAAAAAAGAGATATATTAAAAAAAATTTCTCTTTTCAACCTCTTTCTTTCTTGGCAACAAATTGATTGGCCTTCTCCACTGTAAAACTGAGAAATTTAGAATGATTTGAGATCATCAGTGTAAAGAATAGCAAAAGAAGAGTATTATTCAGAGACCTTCTGCTAGCCCAAGATCATGAACTAAGATTGGAGGATTCAACTAAAGAAGAGGAAGCTTGAAAAGAGAAGAGAGATTTTTGAAAGGAGAAGTTTGTTTTGAAGAAGACTTTCTTGATTTTTTGCTTGATTACAAATGAACAAGACACCCCATATTTATACTGGCCTATGGATGATTCTAGATAATGTACAAAGAAGATTCTAGCAACCTTATCTTCTAACAATACTCTAGAATATCTAGATATGTCTTATCTTCCCACAACATTCTAGAACATCTAGATATGTCTACTAGATAAATATCAAGGAGACTACACTAGGACATTCTAGAGAATTCTATATTTTTCCAAAAAATTAACTTTATTGTTTTCACATTCCCCTTAAAATAATTTTTTGGAAACTACTCCAAGCTTGTCATAGAAGAACTCGAACGAAGCTTTAGCAAGTGACTTGGTAAAGATATCAGCGATATTCTCCTGACTTCGCACTTCCAAAGTATTGATAGTTCCATTAAGAACCTTTTCCCGAATAAAGTGATGTTCCACCTCAATGTGTATAGTTCTTGCATGGAATACTGGATTGTTTGCAAGCTTGATGGCACTTTGATTATCTCCATAGATCACATTTGCTTTGATATAGGTAGATGCAAGTCTTTGTAGCCATACACATTCTTGAGCAGTGAGAGTAGCTGCTTTATACTCCGCCTCCGTGGTTGACAAGGAAACTGAGTCTTGCTTTTTGCTACACCAAGAAACACTTGTTTCACCACAGAGAAAAATATAGCCCGATGTTGATCTTCGGTCATCC